ATACTATCACAGTAATAGAGTATATTTATACTGTGTAGTATTAGTACTTTCACAGTAACAGAGTATATTTATACTGTGCAGTATTAGTACTTTCAGAGTAACAGAGTATATTTATACTGTGTAGTATTAATACTATCACAGTAATAGAGTATATTTATACTGTGTAGTATTAGTACTAATCTAGCTGCACTTCCTCTCGTGTCCACTAGGGGCTCTGACACACACAGCTGCTGTCACCATATAGTTAGTGTAGCAGCGCTGTGATTGGACGCTGGTCCTGGTGACCTGCATGTTTTTACCTCCTGGGCTTTGAGCCCGGTTCCCAGCAGGAAGTTGTGGTTGTGCTGTCTGATCTGGATGTTGTAGACCTTGTCCTGGTAGAGGACCATCAGGGTGAAGGGCTGGTTGTTCTGCTGCCGGGTGCTGTCCCTCACCAGATACGCTCCGTCCTCCATGAGACACACAACTACTCAGTACTACTCACATACTGTGCTCATGTACTTGTACTAGTTTGTACTTGTTGTTACCTTGTTGACTCGTTTCAGACACCCCTCGGCCTGACCGCGGGTTACTTTGCCCACATACCAGCGAGGGTCCAGCTCCTACACACAATATAAATACATCATACTGATACCTGGTTCTTAAAGGTGCCGTATCAATAACGTTATTATTATTATTACTGTTGAACAGAACAACAAACAAAGACGAAGGCACCACCTGCTGTTCATAGTGAAGAACATCCACAGGAACAGCTGTTTTTACGATAATAATACTAATACTAATAATGATAATATTAAAAAGAATCATAATAATAATGATGATATTAAGAATAATAATAATAGGTTTATAAGGACGCAGTAACTCAGAGACATGTGGGGCCATGAAGTGTTTTAAATGATTACTAGTAAAATGTTAAGATCTAGTCATCTGAAGGTGAGGAAATAAAAAGTGTGTTTGGGAAACTCAGAAGTTTATAAAAAAAAAAACTTGTGTTGCTATCTTTATGGGGACCCACAGTTTTAAACCGTCGTAGTGAGGACATGTCGGTGAGGGTCCTCACATGACAAGACAGACAAACACGTGTGTATTATGTGTGTATTATGTGTGTGTATTGTTACCTGTGTGTTTGCTGTCGCAGGCGGAGACGGACGAAACGACTGACGGTCCGATGCTACAAAGCTGATCCTTTGTCCGGCCAGCGCTGACACACGCACACACGCACACACACACACAGTCAGTACAGTTCTTACTGATGGTAATAAACCTGTTGCAGGATGCAGAGCGCCCTCTAGTGGTGGCACAAAAAACAGGGCCAGTTATAAAAAATTAAAAAACAATAAATAAATAAAAAATAAGAGGGAACAGCAACATGTATATTTACTCCTGGCTGCAGAATAAACCACCATAAATCTTTATAAAAGGTGAAACTGTTCCTTTAATGTGTGAGTTCTTACCAGACTGCAGTTTGTGAGGCAGAGATCCTGCGGAGGGAACACTGGGAGGCAGACTGCTCCGAAACAAACAAAGGAAACATTAGTCATTATATTTATTATAGCGTCTGTGGTTTATGACTTCTATGAGGACGATGGTTTGATATCCATCTATTCTTATGTAAAGAGCAGCATTGCATGAAAACAGATCACTTTTATGCAGTGAATCTAAACTGTATAATAATTTAAATAATTTATAATAAAGATATTGAGTTGATGTTCTAACAAAGTGTAATTACATGGAGGTGTTCCCCAGGTCTCCGTTCTCGGACCACTTTTGTTCCTCGTTTATTTAATTAAATTCATCAAATGTCATTGTTTTGTCATTTCTCCTTCTGTTTCCTGTTTTATTTTGTAAGTTCACACTTCCCCTTCCTGTGTCGTGTCTGGTTTTACTTCCTGGTCTCTGTGATTGGCTGCATTCATTAGCTAGTTAGCAGCTAACTCTGCTTTATCTTTAGAAAGCAACTTTCTTATTACAGACCTCACATGAGGATAATTAAAGGTCAAAAGTTACATTTCTTGGAATAGTATTGGATGAGAAAACACAACAGCCATGTTTTCATTAAGTTTTAAAGCGAATTTAAAAAGTGAGACAAAGATAATATAAATATATACCTAAGAAGACGCCAACAAAAGAAACAGCTGATCAGCCATGTGAGGTACATATTCGCTATCTCAGAATTTATTTATTTATTATTCATGTTATGTCGGTTGTTAAAACTGCAGTGGGCCCACAGTTGAACCCTGTGGTACTCCAGTACTGACTTTTTAAATATAATTGTTCATAGTTATGTATGTTTTTGTGCTGTTTCTTCCTATTATGTCATCTATTTTGTTTATATTGTAATTGCTTTTGTTGTTTCTGTTTTTTACCATATAAAGTCTTTGAGTACCTTTTAAAGTGCTATAGAAATACAATTTATTACTATTATTATTATTATTATACCTGTCTCCTTGATGTGAAGGGAGTCCGGGGAGTCCAGGGAGTCCAGGGCGGGGGGGTAGACTTTTAGTTTGGAGGGGGAAGGTGTTGTGTTTAGGAGCTAAGAGAGAGAAGTATTTAAAGAACCACTGTGATATTTTTGGGATATTTCGTTTTTGTTCATGAAATGCCCCAAAAAAAAAAAAATCTCACCTTCATTTTGTGTTTGCTGATCAGAGAGAAGAGAAGAAAATAATCAGAGCTCATTCTGGACAAACTAACCATCACAATAACACTGAAGAACAAACGTACCTCTCTCCTCACATCAAACCTGTAAAACAAACACACAACAATCTGATTATTATCATAAAGCTTTAATAAGTTTGATCTTTATCCTGAAGAATGGGAATACAAACATTAAGATGACAACAGTGGAAACAAATTTGTTCAAATACTGTGAGATATTAAAGTTATGTTTTAATTTTTGATGAATGCCGACCTGTTGGCAGGAGGTCTGGAGGAGGAGTTGCTCCTGCTGACGGAGGTGGAGGACGGAGGGAGGACAGGTGGAGGTTTGGACCAGGTGGGAGGATCGGGTGAGTCGAGCTGAGGCCTGAACACATTAAACATGATGTCATATTCTATTATAACATATTAGTCTCTTACAGCTAAGAACTAAGTTCTGGTCTGATTGGAATAATCAACCTGTAAATATACAGTATTTAATCCATAGTCTCTTTCCACTCGTCTTCTTATTGTAGGATCAGTCCATAATAACACCCTAATAATTTACGTACTCATATCTTATACATATTCATTTGTTCTCTGTAATATTGTGAAATTTTAATATTACATAGTTGGAGGCTTCAAATAAGCCCCGTTGGCTTTTTGCCTCTTCCTGCACTGGGATATTATTTATCTCTGCTATGTTTGTTTATTTTTTATTTAATTGTTTAAATTGTGCAAAATAAATAAATTAAACTAAACTATAACGATTGTTTTTTACAACTTCATGACTTTATGCTATGAATGATTCATTTTCATGCTCTGCTTGGAGAACTCTTAATATTTGATATTTGTTTTGTTAGTTTACCGCACATTTGGTATTGTTTAAATTATCTTGTTGTTATGTTTTTTGATAAATTTGTCTAATTGTGCTTTTATTGTATAACTGTCTTTCAAAACAAGGGTTATTCCTCATAAAGAATTTCCATTAATATAGTGTGGAAACCAAATGCTGAATGAATGAGAGGTTTTGCATTAAGAACTCCTTTCTTGCTTTTCTGTATAAAGTCTCGACTGTTATTACTTGTTTTGAGCCAAATCATGCTGTTTTTCCTAAACCTGACTAACTGGTTTAGCCTAAAATGTTTAGCCATTTGCGTTGTTTTGTTGCCTAAACATAAACATCAGTGTTTCACATGTCAGAAGTCTCGTGGTTTGGTTGAAGAAGCACTAAAGACAAACAAGACAGTGTCATCTGCATACAGATAGATATTATAGGTGTTAGAGGGACCCAGCACAGACCCCTGTGGTGCCCCTTTATTTATTCCTCAGTGTGTCTTGACTTACCTACGAGAAGGTGGGATGGCCTGTGAGAATAAAAACAGAAATAGAATTAAAGCAGTAAAGATTAAAAGTATTTTAAGAAAGTTACAGGGAGGTTTTCAGCCTCCCTGGTGACACGAGTGGTTCTGGTCTTGGTTTTCTACATTTCTCATATAATCAGATTGCCTGAAATTTCTGAATGTGAATTATTGAAGTAACATCCTTTCGAGTCGGATAATTGTTTAGTATATTTACATGGATCCACCTGATGAATAAAGGTTGTTTAAAAAGAAAAACTCACCTTCTCCACTGAGTTGTGATGAGTTCCTGTGGATCAGAGAGAAAACATCACATTAATACATTTATACTCATTATAGATTGTAAATACATCCCATTTAATCTAATTCAATCTTTTTTTTTTGTTTGTTTGTTCCATTATTGTGTTGTTGTTTTTCGGAGAAGCCGGCTGCTGCCAGAAGAGTTATGAAGAGAGAAACAGTAAAATCAATGATGGAGTTACGGTTATGTTTTAACAGAAATGAAGTGAAACCAGGGTCACCTCTGACGGGAGACGGGTTGGATCCTGAATCTCGGCCCGGTTTGTTGCCGCGAAAGATCTGCGGCGGCCCCGGAGTAGCTGAACACAGAATCAGGACGTCTCCATTAGTGTGTTATTGATCTGTGATCAGTGAACCAGGATGTACAGATGATGATGTCACATGAATGATATAAACTAACGTGGACTCACATTTTCCTCCCCGACAGTTTGGGGATCGGTCTCTCCTGAAGGAGGAGGAGGAGGAGGACTCTGCTGGCTGCACACAAACACACAGGTAGAGGTTTAGTTAACTGAACTGGTCTTAACAGTTTAAAACTAATGTTTTTATGAGACTCACCATCCGGGGAGACGGTGCAGACAGGGTGGAGGCTGGGGGGCGGGGACTCACAATAGGGGGCGGGCCTCTGGATGTCACATGGCTGTCTACACACACATATATAAAGTATTTAGTCAGTGTATTAACAACAGTTTACTGGTTTAATGTGATGTATCCATCATGTTTGTCTACTTTGTGAGCTGCAGCTCCCCCTGCTGTCCAGACTGAAACACCACGGGCAGTTTAGAGTCACCAGTTAACCCGAGCTGCATGTCTTTGGACTGTGGGGGGAACCGGAGAACCCAGAGAGAACCCCCACTGACACACGGGGAGAACATGCAAACTCCACAAAGAAGGCCCGTCCAGCCCGGGAATCGACCCGGGCCCTCTTGCTGTGAGGTGACAGTGCTAACCAAAACAGTTCCTTTCATAAGACACAGTGTTAACGACACATCGAGGGAAAAACAATGTGAGAATCTGAGAATAACAACCTGAAGTAGACTCAAAACACTACGTAAAGTACTCCGTGGGGCTTTCAATTGCTGGTGGATGGATGACTGTGTTGTGTTCATGTACAGTAGTAAACTGAGGCCATGTGGTCTACCGATGTAGTCGCTGTCTGCGATGGGCAGGGTGGGGCACAGCTTGTGGACCAGGTCCTCTGGAGGTTCAGTGGGGGGGGGCTCGTAGTCGTTGGCCCCGTCCTGGTCTTCGTTTGGAGACTCGTAATCTCCGCCGCTGCCCTCTTCATCACCGCTGAACGGACTCTCATAGTCATCGTCAAACTCTTCATCATCCTGACGGAGAGGTGGAGGAAGTATTTAGGTCCTCTACTGCAGTAAAAGTACTACTACCACACTGTAAAAATACTCTTTTACAGTAAAAGTACTAAGACCACAAAGTAAAAAATACTCTGGTACAGTAAAAATGTTCCTTCAGTAAAAGTATATCAGTATTATCAGTAAAATGTAGTTAAAGTAATCAAACTGTGGCTGTTGTACTATTAAATATATTATCAATAATAATCATGCATTAACTTGTTGAGTTCCTTCAGTAAAGACTATTAAAGTAAATCAGGTTTATTTCTGGACTTCTTCAAAAGTGAGAATGTGAGGAATATGAATCCATAGTTAGTAATTAGGGCCCGAGCACCGACGTAGTCGGAGCGGAGGACCTATTGTTATTCTAATGTTTATTATTATTATTATTATTATTATTATTATTATTATTATTATTATTACTTTGCCACTTTCATCGCAAAAAGGAGGTGCTTGGGATACTGGAAAACTTTTGAAATTTGGCACGCAAGCCAGTTTTTGCAAAAATTGCAGTGTGATTGGGGTGTCCAGCTGTGGTATGAAATATTGGCTCGATAGCGCCCCCTATTGAGTAGCCCCAACACCGGGTTTCACCTAGCTCTATGAAATTTGGTAGGTATGTGGAACGTGATGGGACGTACAAAAAATCCTCTTGGAGTTATTCACTAAACCAAACAGGAAGTCGGCCATTTTGAATTTCATGACGTTTTTTGACCATTTCAAGGCGTCATACTTTAACGAACTTCTCCCAGAGATTTGACCCGATTGACTTCAGATTCGGTCAGTATGCTCTTGAGACCTTGGCAGTGAAAAGTTACTCAAAGATCAAAAAGTTATCAAACTATGTGTCTGTGGCGTGGCGTCAAAAAAACACCATTCGCCGCGAAACAGGAAGTTGTTGTAACTCGGCCGTACATTGTCGAATCTGCTCCAAATCTCTCATATGTCATAACATCCTGACCCGGAACACATCTATATGATAATTTAGAATCATAGTAATAGCGCCACCTAGTGGCAACTTGAAGTTGTAAGTTGTGTACTTTGACATCTTGCTCCTCACAGATTAATCAGATCCCTCTCAAATGTTGTCAGAACAGCCTTAAGACCTTGATAATGCTTCATAGTGAAAATTGTAAGAAGTTGTTGAAGGGCGGCGACGTGGCGGTTCGGCGAATTCCGATCCTTCGCCATGAATGAATAAACTGATGTAACTCGACTCCACATCATCAGATCTTTACCAGATTCCACATGTTTGATGAGACTCCAGGCCTGAAGACATCTGCAGGCCAATTTTGAATCATAGTCATAGCGCCACCTACTGGTAACAGTCAGTTTAAGTCTCTATACTTTGGCTTGTTTCTCTTAGTAGGTAAATCAGATCAACATCAAATTAGTTCCACACAAATATAAGAAGTTCATAATGCCAGTTCATGAAGCTTTTGATGTTTCATCGAACGCCGTTGCCGTGGCGACGCGGTCTTCTTCGTGAAAAACGAAGGTCATTTTGAGAGGCTAAAAATGCTCAAAACATAAGCAAACTTGGCACACAGATTTAAAACCCCAAATGTAGTTATAGAATATGATTTTATTGGTTCAGAGGGACAAATCAGCTCAATAGCGCCCCCTACAAAATTTAGACGAAGCAGCCGTCGCTGTACGTTTCACATAGATTTATAAAATTTGGTAGGAACATGTATCACATGTGGACTTAAAATAAAGTCTCTTGGAACCATGCTCTAAACCCAACAGGAAGTCAGCCATTTTTAATTTTTTATGAATTTCTATCAGTATGAATTTTTTTTTACGATTTCCAGGCGCTGTACTTTAACGAACTCCTCCTAGGGAATTAATCAGATCAGCTTAGAATTTGGTCAGAACAATCTAAAGACCTTAGCGATTAAAAGTTACTAAAAGCTTGAGGTTTCATTGAACAACATGGACGTGGTGTGGCAGCCATTTCACATGGCTCACCATCATCCATCAAGCTGTTGTAACTCGACTGTACTTTGTCAAAACTGTCCCAAACTTGACATGTTTGATTAAGGTCATGGCTTTAGGACTTCTGCATGCCAATATTAACTCATAGTCATAGCGCCACCTACTGATAAGCACGGACGTAAGCAGGATTCTATAATTACAGCGGCCCAAACACTGAACTTATTGAAAGGGTTTGTGGACACACCATGAGAAAAATACTTCTCTGATCTAAATATGTGCAAACTAAGATGCTTGGAGAGCAGAAATTGGATAAAAAAAGGTTTCCAAATCGTGCCTGTACGTGGAGTTTTCATTAATAGTAAATTTAATTGTTTTTGTTCGTTTTGGAACAGGCTGTAATGTAAAGTAATTTCATGCAACGTGAAGTTTGTTTAATAAAATCAAACTGCACCCAGACTAATTTGTATGATAGATTATTCTACATTGGCTCACCTTTTGGCTTAAACTTATTTCTTTACAAAAATATGTTTTTTTTCCACATGGAAGTATACATTCTCCTATTTCTCCTCGACTCTTCCAGCTTTTAGTCACTCAAAAAAATGTTTTCATAAAATCTCAATCTGTAAAGTAACAACCCCCCCAAAGAAAAATGAAAATAAAATGTTTTTCTGGTTCTGACACAAATAGATAAAAATAAAAATAAAGACTTACAAACTCGTCTTCACCCCAACCCTGAACGTCAGTAGCCGTGTCTGCAGAGCAGCACAAAGAGAGAAATAGTTTCAGATGAATAAATAAAACTAAGAAAAGAATAAATAAGGAAGGACGGCAATTAAACTTAAACTTACAAGGTATGCAGTACATGTACACATAGTACCTACAACCAGTGTTGTACTTAAACTGATACTGCAGTACTGTCATAGTACTGTAATATACCATCTACACCAGAATATACATGTGTATATGTATAAATAAATACATATATACATAGTAATAATACAAATATTTAACAGATTAAAGTATATAATTAATATCTTCAATAACATGAGAATGAAGGTGATGAATGACTGAAAGTAAAGTTCTTACCTGGTTCAGGATATTTGGGTGTTGATCTGTGATGGAAAGAAAAATATATTATTATTATTTCCCATCATGAACTACAAAGTTTGTGTTTGAAACTGTATAACTGAATAATATTATCAGTAATAATCTTTAAAAACACGGTAATGTTAACAAAAGTACACCTGCTATAGTTATTATTTTAAACTCTGTGTAATATTCCCATAATATCTCTGAACTTACAGTATCTGGTACAGTTTAGTAACTACTTAAAGTACTAGATTCTAGTACATCCAGACCAGACAGAGAACACTGTTCATATTTAATCTATGTATATACAAGAAGAGGAATTCTCTGCTCTACGAAACCACAAATGTAAATCAGTGAAAACTGAACATTTAATTTACAATAAAAAACTATTCTTACTTTTTACCAAACAGTCCTCTTCTCTCCTCCTTCTTGCTGATTTCAATGCTGAACTTTGAGATCATCCTGACGTGTAAAGGTTATTTAAAGAGACAAATATAGGTTATTTAAATAGACAAATAAAGGTTATTTAAATA